TTCTCACTCTCTGGCTCCAGCGACTGCATTGCTCATTCTCCAGGTCCAGGTGGGAGAACCAGACAGGCTATGATACTAACATCCTGTAAATCAACGAGCAGGAACCTGAAACTCCACCGCGCCGTGTTTAAACATGATCTGCTCCCAAACAGCCCAGCAGGCCTTGCAGAAGAGACCCGATCTTGCCTCACTGCAAGCATCCTGTTCGAGACATCCCTCCCAGGCTCTCAGGCCGAAACGCCTCCCTGCTTGCTATGATTTCCCAGAGCCAAGACTCTCTGCCCCTCAGGTGTCTGGCTGACCCTGTGAGACACAGGCAGCTGCTGACTCACCGTCCTCCAGGGAGCACAAGGGCATGGCTCAGTTCCCCTGAGCTCCTAAGCCTCAGGGGGACATCTGTTGGAGGAAAGTCAGGCCGATGTGGATGCCGCCTCCTTCCCTGCCACTGGCTCAGCCCTGCTGGGCCGCAGGGCTGGCCACCCTGCTCTGTACTGTCCTCGGGACCACTCTCCTTGGCCTGAGAGCCTGAGGCCCCAGTCCCTTGGGCAGGAACCCAGCCTCCTGAGCTCCAACAGATGGTCCATTTGCACAGAGACCTGCCACCCTGGACGCTCTCCCCAGAGGGAGCTGGATTATGGCAAACCCAAGAGGATTAGTGCAGGAGGCCGTCTGCAGAGAGGATAATTAGCTTAGTGGGTTACACAGATTGTCCCTGGCCCTCTGCCCAAGGGTACACTTGTCAAGACCGTTAAACACAGCCTGGGAGCTTGCAGGGGAGCCCTCTGAGCACCAGCGGCTCCCACCCTGTTCCAGCCATCTGGGGGGTCATGATCAGCCTGCAGGATTGGGGGAGCATTCCGCCCACCATGGTACTGGGCAGGAACTCCAGGTCCTGAGTGGGGGACACCAGTGGAAAGGTGGGGGGCAGTTTTCCATCTCCCGGAAGAAAGCAGAGAAGGACACACGATGGCACTGCATCGGACAGGAGGCAGCACATGGAGGCCTGAATGAGACAGCCAAGAAGTCAACCATCCTTAGCTGTTTTCTCTGTCAAATCCGAACAGCAGATTCCCCCCAGAGGGCCCTCCTTCTTCATTTCAGACAACATGGATCATTTTGGTTGTAGGTTGGCAGCACCTATGGGGAACCACTGGAGCCTGGACTTTTCAAACCAACTCTCTTGGAGGACTGGAAATTCGCTTTTTAGTTTTTGGTTTGTTTAGAATACACATGTTTAGGTGCAGGGCTGCCTGGAGGGCACAAACCGTGACCTCCAGCCTGGCAGTTTCCTCCCTGGAAATTAACTAGGTAGAAGAGTAGCCGGTGGAAGTTATAGGGACTCAGTGTGTGTTACCATTAAGAAGCGAAGATTTTCTGATATGTACTCTGCCTTGAACTGATCAATTCCACAAATGAAGTACTTAAGCCTTGCTTCTGGCTGACAGACACAGAAGGTCAGTCCCAGTGGCCAGATGTGTGTGGCTGTGGGCTCTGGGGGGCAAATCACATTGTAGGTGGAAATCTAGGCTTGCCCAGTAATTTTAATCGGTTAGCACAAACATCGTCAAACACAGTAGTCATCAGCGGAAGTCCAGATGCTTCATGCAGAGCACAGAATACAAGTACCGCAAAGGCATTTCTGATGACCTATGTTTGGTTCACACGTAATGAGCACCTACGTGCCAAGTGTATAGCAGTTATTGCTAGTCAGTTTATCCAAATACATGAATAAGCATATAATGGCAATAAAACATTTCACTAGCTTTTTTTCTCCAGGGGAATGTGGGGAAACACTGTAAGTAAAGGGAAAATATAATCTGTTTAATGTCCACATTTATAAAATAAGGAGAGTATACTTAGTGGCCTCAAAGTGGGATTACCTCATATTTTATCAGCTAAACCAAGGCACTCTGGGGAGTGAAACAGGGTACTCTCAATTCCATCTGATGACAGGAGTAAACTGGAACTGTCCCCAGGCAATCAGGACCCAGGGCTATCTTATCTCTAAGAATGACCGCATGTAATATCTCTGATTTTGTGAGTTGCATTGTCAAATAGCCTTTGTACTACAGAGAACCTTCTTCAATGACTCAAAGCTGCAAGATGGTAGCTAGAACTTTTGAACCTGAGCCTCAGAGGCCTTTGTACCAATCAATAAGAGATTCATGACTCAGTGTTTCCCAAACACCTACTATATTCCACCTGCCCCCTTAGTTACTTCTGAATATGCAAAGAAACCTCAGAGAAGCCAACATCAGACTGTAGCCGCAAGAGATAAGAGATAAGCCAGTTAAAATCAAATACCAATCCTAGAGTTTGACAACCCTTCTGAGTAGCTGAAAGCAGAACATGCCAAGTGACGATTGTTGACAATAAGTGCTATAAATGTTCCAAAGATAGAAAGACTACCATGACTGAAAGGACGACACCATTCTTGAAGGATGAAAAGGAGAGGGCATTTGGATCCAGATGAAGCAGTATATCTGCATGACTTTACACCCTCTGCCCCAATTTCACAGCCATGAGAAACCAAATCAAACAAAGAAACAACAAAAAGATATAACTAGGGTTTCCCCCTATAATCCCAAAAAGGCAAACATCTGTATTGCCCAAAATCAGAAGAAAAACACAAAGCAGTGAGTAGGGCTGAGACCACAGGCTGGCTGGGCTCCTCCATACCTTTCAGACACAGAAGCTGTAAAAGGGAATGGTGACCCCTGTGTGGGGGCATGGCTTTATGATACTGGAGCTCTGCTGGTGGAGCAGAGGTTGCCCAGGGGACACATGGCAATGGCTGAAGACACTTTTGGTTGTTTCAGCTGGAGGGGGGTGTGCTACTAACATCCAGTGTATAGAGGCCAGGGACACTGCTAAACACCCTGCAGTACACAGAACAACCCCCTCCATGACAAAGAATTACCCAGCCCCAAATGTCAGCAGTGATGAGATTGAGAAACCCTGGTTTACAGGATGCCATTGGTGTCACACATATAAACTATTGGAAATATATTTGTGCTACTCATATTCTGGGCTCTGCATGAAGAATCAGGACTTCAGCTGATAACTACTGGGTTTGACAACTTTTATTCTAACTTATTAAAATTGCTTCATTTATAAGAAGCCATTGGTGTAATAAGTAAAAGGGATCAAAAAGACTCAGCCACACGGCTGGTGACTGGCTATAGAATATCCCCCAATATATTTGCAAAAGAAGAACTCCCACAATGTCACTCGGAGACTCGGTTCTAACTAGGGAACTGAGTTAGAACTCGGTGGCCCTGCATGAGGGCCACCACAAAACTACTACCCAGGGAGGGTGGCAGACAGAGGAGGAAGAGAAAACAGAACAAAAGCAAACCCCCTAGTCTAGGTGAGCCTGAAACCAACATTTAAAATCACATGACAAATACGATGTAAACAGACAGTCAAGAGAATCAGCAATGAGAACCTGAATTCACTCCAAATGAAAATAACTTCATGGGACTGACAAAGACTTAAAATGTGCCTTAAATGGAGCCAGAGTGGTAGATGGGAGAGTCCCAAAGAAGAGAGGCGTCATAATTATCATCCAGCAGCCACTGTCTAGAGTTTCAAAAACCCTAGGAGGTAGGTATTATTATTACACCACTTTCCATATGAGGAAACAGAGTCATGGAAATGAGAACTAATTTCCCAAGGTCATTTGGCTGGTGTGTGGCGGAGCCAGAATTTGGGTCTAGGCAGTTTGGCATTGGCCTCTATGCGTCTCATCACTAAACTGTGCTTTGGGTAGAGAGAACAGCATAGCCCCAAGAAGGGATTTTATTGAAGATACAAGAAAGAGAATGAAGCATCAGAAAGGGAATGGAGAGAGAAGAATCAAGAAGCAGGAGGGTACAAGAGTGTGAAAACAGGCTAAGTGTGTTTGCAGGGTGAAGGAATGGCAATCCAGCCATGGCTGCTGAGACACCAGGAGAATAAAAAGGAAATGGCACCAGCTCTTGGCAGTGCAGGAAGCCCTGGTGGCCTCCAAGAGAGCTGTTCAGTAGAGAAGAGAGGACAGAAGAGAGATTATAGGTGAGAGCATGGTAGGGAAATAGAGGCAGAAATTATATACCTTTTGTTTGGGAAGTTTGCCAATGCATGGCAGGAAAGAAATAAGATGGTAGCCAGAGGAGGCAGCCTGTGCCTGCCTGGGGACAGAAGGAAGTGGCCAGTGATGGGGTGAGACTAAGGATATGAGAGGGACAGGACAACGCAGGTTCTAAAAAGGTGAAAGGAGGAGCCACAGCTTGTCAGAGGAACCTGGTTCCTGGGACCGGGTGTGTAAACAGCCACTGGGCATTTACACACTGAGTAAGAACCAGCGGCCTCCGACTGTCACTTCCTCAGCTGTTCTCGGGGAAACTCTGCCACCCCAGGCCCTCCTAGGATGGGCTTGTTTTCCCCAATGCTGCTGTCAGGCCACCATTCTCACACTTCGGCATAGCCCCTCCTTCCTTTGAAGGGCACGTCCACTGTCAGGTTCTGCCCCCATCAGCAGCTCCTTGCTGCTGTCATCCTCGGACCTTATGGACTTGCTCCCTAGCCATAAGGAGTTTGGCACTCCTTATGGGCTGCCATGCAGAATCTCCCCATCCACTTCAGAACTGCCACTGTTCCCTGATGTCCGTATGTCTGTGTGGCACCCAGCCCACAACTGGCCTCAAATCCCTTCAATTCATCACCCTCCATCCACACTCCAATTCACCAACTCACTCCTCATCCACTCCCCAGACTTTATTGCCCAGATGTGATCAGCTCTAGAAACCTAAACTCAAAGAGCTCAGTCTCAGGCCACAGTCCCCTATCCCTCCAGCTCTCTCCTCTCCTGCTCTCACCACAAGACTGGCCAGTAGCCTTTCAGCCATGCTGCCCCCATGCCTTCTCCTGCTTCCTGGCTCTACAATGGCTCTCGGCCCAGCTCCATTCTCATGGAATACACTTCAGCCACTCTCTTGCAGAACAAGGCAACGACCTACCTTCCTCTCCTCCACTGTCACCAGTTAGAAGCTTCTGGAAGAATTTGCTCACTTCTGTGGATTTAAGTTACTTCAGATTCGCTGTCTCAGCATTAACTGAGATTTTGATTTGCTTCCTAAATGTTTTTCTCATTCCCTGGTCCAGTCTTTGATGCTCTTTCTCAAGGTTTCTCTCATTCCCTAGTCAGGTCCAGCCCTCACAGCTGCTACTCGAAATCTTCACCAGCTTCCCAGAGTCACCGTCTCCATGGACCTGTGGGCAGGATAACAGGACGTGAGCTATTATTAACGTTCCTCTGCTAATTGCAGAGGAATCGCAAATCTTCCTGAAAGAAGTTGTTCTGTGTCTTGTCATAGTTCCAGCTCCATGATTGCCTTTACCCAGACACCACAGCAAGCATCATTCTACAGTCACACCAGCTCAGACTGACTTCAACAGAAAATTCACCAAGTCCTGATTGCAGAGCTGAGGTGGCTGCTGTGGTTGGATTAGGAGTTTTGTCTTCTAGTTACCCTCCGGATTCTTCTCTTTCTTCCCCCTCTGCACCCCTCTTTACTCCTCGGAGGGAAAGATGCTCATTTTTCTTCTCCTTATTGCTGAGAAGGCTCTCAGCTACAGGCAGCCAGGCCACGCATGAGTGTCCTCTATAGGACGCCATCACGGGGGATGTGGCTCGCAGGACCCCTCAGAGCTTCCCACTGGACACAGCTCCCCAGGTGTCTGATCTCTAAAGCCAGACCAATCCTGGAATGAGTGGCAGGGCCTTAGAGCAGTGCTTCTAAAAGGAATTGCAACTAGCAGTGAGTTCTGGGCAGTTTGTTACCTACACAAAGTGAAATAAGGACAGACATGGTGGGTACATACTTAGAAATGTAGAGCGATTTGACTTTGTCGTGATATCCAAGTGCAAGAACACTTGGCTCATATTTTGTGTGCCTAATGCGTTTTATAATCATTCCTTTTATTGTATTCTTGTTAAGTACTGACCGACAACAGACTCAACATTTTTAAACCAAATGAATGGGTTCTTCCTTTCCCAGTATTGTTGGAGAAGGTCTTCTCTGTCCTGGGGGCCATAATGTCTTTCCCTTTCTTTGGAGGGAGACACTGGCCTTGCCCCACCCATGCAAGGTTGGCACCCACACTGTAGTCTGCTTCGGCTGCCGTAACACAGGACCCCAGACCGCAGACTGAGATAAGAGAAATCTATTTCCTCACAGTTCTGGAGTCTGCAAGTCCGAGTTTAGGGTGTCGGCAGGGCTGGTTTCCCCTGGGACCTCGCTCCCGGCCTGTAGATGGCCATCTTCTCCCTGCGTCCTCACGTGGCTGCCCCTCTATGAGTGTCTGTTTACTAATCTCATCTCTTTGTAAGGACATCAGTCCTGTGGGATTAGGGCCCTTCCCATATGACCTCATTTTGCCTTATTTGCCTCGTTAAAGACTCTTTCTCCAAATACAGTCATATTCTGAGGAAGGCAGGGGGAGCGGTTAGGATTCCAACATGTAAGTTTTGGAGGATATGATTCCCCCCTCATATACATGAATTCACACGCTCAGGGCCCCATCTTCTCGGCTTTTCATCCTCTCTGTGCGGCTCCCCCAGTCCCCAGCAGCTCAGCTCTCCCCTTTCAACAGAACCACAGATAAGGGTGGACTCGAGAAGCTGAGCTCATTTCTGAAGTGCCCTACCAGTGGCGAACTGGTAAACCCCCAGGGCTGCTGTCGGCCACATTACTACCATCAGCAGCTTCTGTCTTTCATGAATTCAACAAACATGGATCTGGTTTTTGATTATGTGCCTGACACTGTTCTAGGCAGAGGAGATACCAAATAAACACACAGTGCTCCCATGAGCTGAGGTTCTGGGGTCTCCAATTCTTCCTTCCACCTCTCAGGCTCCCAGGATTGCTCCCTCTTTTCCAAAGCTGCTTCAGGCCGTCCTTCCCCAGACTCTGAGCTCCCAGTCACAGTCTCCCCCCCAGGACAGGCTTGACCAGAACTCCTCTAGCCAGTGTGCCAGTTTTCCCAGGCATAAAGAGGACAGGGTTTGAAGAAATTAAGTTTCCATGTGGGTCTGAGTGCTGCAGGGCTACTCTTGGAATCACTGGTGCCCTGTTCCCCACGTAGGCACTTCCAAACCACCCCCGCCCCCACCTTTGCAATTACATCATCTCTGCTCTCTTTTCTTTTTTACTTTTTTTGTTTTTGTTTTGTTTATTGAGACAGAATCTCACTCTGTGGCCAGGCTGGAGTGCAGTGGCACGATCTCAGCTCATCGCAATCTTTCCCTGGTTCAAGCAATTCTCCTGCCTCAGCCTCCCGAGTAGCTGGGATTACAGGCACATGCCACCACACCCTGCTAATTTTTGTATTTTTAGTAGAGACAGGGTTTCATCATGTCGGCCAGGATGGTCTCGCTCTCTTGACTGCATGATCCGCCGGCCTCTGCCTCCTGATGTGCTGGGATTACAGACGTGAGCCACCACACCCGGCCTCTGCTCTCCTTTATAAAGTGAAAATCAAACTGAGGTCTCTCTCTTTTCACAGATTCAGGTAAACAGGCTCCAGCCCCACCTCGCTGGACAGGGAACCTGGCAGCCTTCCGCAGATCCATGGGGGCATGTGGGGGTTAATGATTTCACCTAGTTAGAACCAAGTCTGGTTTACTGCCACCAAATTTCTTGTCTATCATCTACTGGGGTTAGGAAAGGCGGCTGGGGTTAGCTCACAGCCCTGCAAGGGAGGACCTCTGGGGATGACCAGTACACAGCCCTGCACACCAAGCCCTCAGGCTCAACCCTCTTTCCATTGAGGAGTGTCCTGGTGGCCTCTCCCCTGGAACCTCCTACCACTTCCACTTCGGTCTCACCTCCGATCTCTTCACTGACGGCCCTAACCCCTCACCTCTCCTACTCTCTTAGTGTCCTGCCTCATCTCTTTTTCAGCCAACGTGTCCTTATCCCCAGGCATAAGGTCGATGCTACTGTGGCAGAGGGTGTTGGCTGTCTCTGTGACTTCTCTACCTCCTTCCTGGCTGGAGAAGCTACTGTTGTCCAGATATTGAAGCCTCACCCCTTCTTACGTAGACAGCCCCAGACGGCACTGGCTCCAGGAATCGCACACAGCCAGGCTTCTACAACCAAAGCAGCTATTAAAAACAAACTAAACACCAAAGCTATTAAAACAAGCCATTAAAAAGAAACTATTAAAAACAAAAGGCTCTCCCCAGGGGGCATGCCTCAGCTCGAAAGCTCACTTCCACAGTGCACTTTCCCACATGAAGGGAGGCTGGTGCTGGGGATGATTCTTCTCAACCTCCCTCTACTGCCCACCTCTTCGCCCACCTCACGTTGGTCCCATCACCCTTCCACTTCCTCACCTCCACGCATCTCACTCCCTCTTTCTCTGCTGGACCCTTGGACCCCAGTTAGTCCTGCTCTGTCTCCCGTGCACAGTCACCTTTTGCAGCCAGCAGTGGCATCTGGGTCAGGGCCTGCCTCTCCTCCATCCCAGTCCCCTGAGGGTTCTGTCTTCACATTCCGGCTGCAGGCTGGTGACATAGTCTGCTCCTCTACTGTCCTGGGAGCCTCTGGATGTACTGGTGCTTTCATTCAATAAATACATTGGAAGTGTCGATTCTATGCCAGACAATTTTCCGGGCACGGGTCCCAGTAGGGAGCAAAGACAGACCCCTGCTCTCTTAAGTAACATCCTAGTGGGGGAGACAGATGCCTAGTAAACCAGGCCAGGGCAAGGGGTAACCTGCTGGGGAAGAGGATGAAGCTGGGCGGGGAGAGTGAGAGCCCGGGGCGGGGGGTGCTGTTGCAGATGTGTGGTTAAAGGTTGCAATCTGAGGATGTGACACTGGATGAAGGCCTGGCCAAAGTGAGCTGGCCAAGCAGGCACCAGCCGTCTGGGCAGAAAAAAAGGCACAGATACATGAGGAGGAGACTGCTCGAGACATGGAAAGCCCAGCAGCAGGGATTAAGCAAAGCAGACCACACCAGGCAGGGCCAGAAGTCGGGGCAGTGCCATATAACCCCTCACAGGCCATCTCTGTGTCTCATGCTCTTCACAGTGTGGTTTCTGTTAAGGGCTCAACAAACATTTGTTGAGTGAATAAATGAATGAACGACTGCTTTGAAGCACACTTAGGCTGCCTGTGTCCTGAAAATGGCCTTTCTAGACTATTTGCCTTCCCCCCACCACCTTCAAGTGCCTGGGCTTAGGGTAACCTGGGAGCAAGGTCTATGTTCTGGCTCCTCCTTCCCCGGGGAAATGAAGTTTGCCGGCCTATCCAGGGGGCTGCAAGCTCACAAGCCTAAATTGGTGTTCTGAGAAAGTGTCCACCATGGTATAGACGCGCCCTTCATCACGATGATTTGTCCCTGATGGAGTTCCTTTTATGTTACTGAGAAGAATTCCCAGCCCCCACCGCCCCCTGTGCTCCCACCCTCCTCCAGTCCTGGAAAAGTCTCCCAAGATGACAGCCTGACTGTCCCTTTCTCAGGGACCTGAGAGGAAGTAGGAGGTACAGCTCACATGGGTGACAAAAGAAGATATCCTGAGACCTCAGCACCCCCACTTCCTGGCTCTGGCAAATCACTTGACTTATGTGAGCAGGAGCCCTTCGCTGCCTGGTCCTCCTCACAACCTCATTTGACCCAACTTGAGCCTCAGCAATTCAAGCCTACAGCACCTAGTGCAGCTATGTGGAACTCTAAGCCCAAGCAACAGTGGCTTAACCCAAATGTGGGTGTTTCCTTCTCATACGTCACAGAAAGTCCAAGAGTTAGGAGTCAGTGACTGGTGCAGCAAGCCTTGGCTCTAACCAAGGACCTCAGGATGGGATACTCATTCGTGTGCTTGCAACATCACTGCCAGAGCTCCAGCAATCATCCCTGCATTCCCTGCTAGAGGAAAGAAAGGGATAAAGGGTAAATGGGCCTTCGAAAGTCCAGAAAAGCTGTCAAGAATCATGTCACATGACTAGTCCAATCTGCAAGGGAGGCAATGAAATGTCGTTTTATAGAACAGCACACATTGCTGTCAGTGCCCCAACAAAATGGGAATTCT